GCAGCGGGTGGGCAGAGCCCCAGTTTGCAGACAGGGCTCAGACATGTGGGGCACAGGGGTTGGATGCACATGGGGGGCAGGTACTGGGACTGGGGGCAGGTATAAAGGAGTATGAAATGGAGCTGGGGGTGGAAAAGCAGAGCTAAAAGGTTGCATTTGAATTTTGTGGGGCAGGAAAGGGTGGAAGAGTTGGGCTGGGTTTGTCTTGCATTAGAGCCATGACTGGGATGTGTTATCTCATCCCTGACCACTGGTCTCTCAGCAGGACTCAGATCTTGTTCCTTTACCCCAGGTGGATGCTGCAGCTTCTGTTGGGTAGCATGGCACATGGTGATGCTCCCGACCATGACCTCTGCTGCCTGTGGGCCTGCCCTCCCTCCTCAGTGGTACCCCTGGGGGTACCTCAGCCCGCCATGGCACATTCCTCTCTGAATGTGTCCTTAGGTGTGACAATAAAACAAGCCCATCTTTGGTCCTCATAAAAAACCCCCACTATGTTCTGCTTGTTGGGGGGTTGCCTTGGGCAGGGGGAGGTAGTGGGGAGAGAGCTGCCAGGGGTGCTACGGGTTCATATAGCATCTCACCAAACTATGGGTGGAAGAGATGGTTTCTGAGTTTGGAAAGAAAGGATCAGCTTTATAAAACATATATGAAGATGACTAAACCAGAAGCAACCCAACAAGGAAGAGGAGGAGGATGGGGAAAAGTTTCCTTCTGGAGCTAGAGAATGATTCCTGCTAGGGCAGAAAAATATAGCATCAAACCTGTGGTATGTTGATGCTTCTTCATCAAAGAACAATTTCTTTATCTGCATCAGTGATGCAATGATCCAGCCACGCACTGCCACCAGCACCCTGTCCCCACAGCGTGAGACGGTGGGGGCAGGACACGCCGATGAGTTATCCAGACAAGGAGGAATTGGCCACGTTAGCTACTGATAGCTCCTGTGCAGAAAGATGACTTGTTACTTACAGCTCTGAGACAGCTCGGGTCAAATGCTGTTTATTAACAGAGAGCCCAGACAGATCCATCAAGTTGACTAAGCGCATCATTAACCAGGGGTCAGCAGTGCGGTGTGCCTCCTCCACCAGCACAACATCCCTCTTGGGCTGAGGGGTCTGGCACATGGGTGAGGGCAGGAGCTCTCCCGGCCGCGCGGCAGCTCGGCCAAGGGGCCAGACCCAGATCCTGCCCTGAGAAAGACATAGCCCGGCAAGCCCTGGCACTGCAAACCTGGCTGCGAATCCAGTCTGAGCCCCCCCCAGCCCTTGGTGCCACTGGAGAGCAAAGCTGAGCAGTGCCTATGGCTACAATAGCTGAGCCCTCTCTGCAGCATCTCTCCTGCAGCCCCTCTGCTCTGTCCCTCTCTGCCCGCAGTCACCTACTCTCCATGCCCAAGCTGAAATCCACAGGGATATTGCTGTTCCCAGGGGCTCAGCACTGGCCCCACTCTGTCCACACTAGACATCATTTCCACCATCAGAGGGCATTCTTGGATTAGTTTTTATCCCAGCTGATGGTCAGACTGGTTTATTGAGGTGGTTGGGGTCAGTGGTGATGCCACTGATGTGGAGGTTGCAGTCCAGCTGGCAGGTCAAGAGCAGATCTTCGCCCAGCATGCTCATGCCTGGCCTTGGACACTGATGGGGATGTCCTGGTCCCCTTGATGTCCCTGGCATCTTGGCATGTGGCTTTGGCCAGTGGGAGCCTTGGAGGACAGGGACTGGGAGCAGGCTGTTAGCTGTGGGTTTGCTAACACAGGGGAGAAACGGCATCTCCAAGACTCTCTCATGCTACACACTGTGTCCTTTCCAGACTCTTAATGCAGTCCTACAGGGCAAAGACTGTATTTGTAACCCCACAGGGGACCAGTGAGGGTAACAGCATCCACTTTTAGTGAGCTCTCCCCGGGAAAGGTCTGGAGAGCACGGAGTGGAAAAATCCACTATATGTTTTTTCTGAAAGCAATCATCCACATGCCTTTTAATTTATGAGCATCCCAGTCTCCAGGTTTCTAGGCACCTTAGCAAGGATCAGGCAAAGGCATCAGTTCCAGGAAAGCAGCGTCTTGCAGAAATAAGATGCAAGTGGGAATCAGACCCGCGCTCCGTAAACAGCAGCCCTAACTTGAGGCCAAGCTACTGCAGTGCAAAGAGACCACAGGCACAGGGGGCTCCTGTCTGTGCCAGTCTGGGGTTGCAGCAACCTCAGGCACTACTGATAAAGGATTTTGGATTCTTCATCTCAAGGAGGCTGGGAGGGTGTTCAAGGCCCCTCCACTGTGATGAGGCCCGAGGGAAGGATTTGCTCCTGTCCTTGCCTTCGCTCTTCATAGAATCACAGAACCCCAGACTGGTTTGGGTTGGAAGGGACCTCACAGCCCATTCAGTTCCAACCCACTGCCATGGGCAGGGACACCTTCCACTAGCCCAGGTTGCCCAAAGCCCCATCCAACCTGGCCTTGAACACTGCCAGGGAGCCAGGGGCAGCCACAGCTTCTCTGGGCAACCTGTGCCAGGGCCTCACCACCCTCACAGGGAAGGATTTCTGCCTCAGATCCCATCTCTATCTGCCCTCCTGCAGCTTCAGGCCATTCCCCTTGGCCTGTCACTCCCTGCCCTTGTCACCAGCCCCTCTCCAGCTTTCCTGTAGCCCCTTTAGGTACTGGAAGGGGCTTTAAGGTCTCCCCAGAGCCTTCTCCAACCCCAACTCTCTCAGCCTGTCTCCATAGGAGAGGTGCTTCAGCCCTCTGATTAGCTTTGTGGCCTCCTCTGGACTGATGGCAACAGCTCCATGTCCTTCTTGTCCTGGGGACTGGAGGGCTGGATGCAGTACTGCAGGGGGGGTCTCAGCAGGGCAGAGCAGAGGGGCAGAATCCCCTCCCTCGACCTGCTGGTCACGCTGCTGGGGATGCAGCCCAGGACACGGTTGGCTTTCTGGGCTGCAAGCACACATTGCCTTCTCATGTGGAGCTTCTTGTCCACCAACACCCCCAAGACTTTCTCCTCAGGACTGCTTTCAATCCATTCTCTTCCCAGCCTGTAGCTGTGCTTGGGATTGCCCTGACCCATGGGCAGGACCTTGCACTTGGCCTTGTTGAACTTCATGAAGTTTGCACAGGCCCATGTCTCCAGCCTGTCAAGGTCCCTCTGGATGGCATCCCTTCCTTCCAGCGTGTTGACCGCACCACACAGCTTGGTGTGTTCTGCTCTGGTTTTTCCCAGTGTGATTTGAACCAGGAACCTGAATATGATATATTAAGGCCCTTGTAAGATGTGGGAGACTGAGCCTCTCATCCTTCCCCCCAACCTTCTTTGCTGCCCTCCTCTTCCTCTCAAGAGAAATGGAGGAGCTCCCTCCAGGCTAAACAGAGATGCGTGCAGTGATGGGCAAAGGGGACATCCAGAGGTCCCTGTCATGTGTGTGGCATTGTTCTCTGTAGCCAGCTAAAGAGCCACCCGCAAGTCTCACCCACACAAGGTCCTTTTCCTCTCTGCACCCCCTCCCAGCCCCTGCGGGAACTTGTAGTTGCTTTGCCTGTCAGTGATGTTCGAGGGGCATGAACCTCCTGGGGCAGGGGAAGGGTCATAGGAAATGTGTTTCTAATGGGAGACTGGTGAACAAGGGATGCTGATAAGAAAAGAATCCCATTTAACTCAAATTAACTCTTCCCACCACCACTTCAGCCCTGGAAGATCCTACAGCAGAGCTGGGACTTGCAGTGCAGCTGCCAGCATCCATAGGGACCACAGAGCTGGCTGGGAGTGATGGCCCATCTCCAGCCACCCCCTCCTCAAATGTGACTGAGGATACACCCTGCCCACGGCTAAACCCAAGGCAGACATATGGGGTGGGCAAATGCTCCTATGGCAGCATCAACATGGACACGGTGGCCTGCAGTGGTCCCACACTTGCCCCTAAATGGGTGCAGGTGCCTCTTTGCTCCCCTGGGCCATGGAGGTGGCTGCATTAACCCACAAAGTTTGGATCTAAAGGGTTTGACTGCACAGGGAAGGTGGTGGGGAGTGACATGGGAGAGATGAGAAAAACAGGGGCTGGGACAGACTTGCCTCTGCCTTGCACAGAAGACAGGGAAGAGAGAGGAGAGGAAAATTACTCAAGGCCAAAGTAAAAGCAGAGAGAAGAAAAAAAGTAAAAGGAGAGAGAGAGAGAGAGAGAGAGAAGGAGAGGGGACACAGCTCCCTGGGTGCAGCTTGCAGGGGTGGTGGGTGCTGCTGGGGTCCGTGGGGAGACATCAGGGCAGCAAAGGGTCCTCTGGGGTTATACTTAAGGGTTTACGTTCACCTCTTTGGTAGTGTTGGGAGTTGGAGACCACCCCTTTACTTGATGGGGATCGTGGGTTCATCATCCTGTGGGTGCTGGCATTGCCATGGGATGCCTTTTCCTACCTCTTCCCATGTCCCAGCCCAGCTCACCTCTCCTTGGTTATGGAGGGGAAAGAAAGGGCTTGAAAGCTCTCAGCCTCAGAGCTGCAGAAATCACATTGCCCTGGGCTCTCCTGGTTCTCAGCAGCTTCACCCCCACCTAGGCACCCCTTTGCCTCAGTGCCCAGGTACCCTCATGGGTCCATGGACATGGGGGCCAGAGTGTGAGGTGCCCCCAGCATCATCAACTGCTGCGCTTGAAGGAGCCAGAGGTCTCCATCAATGGCAGAGGACCTCCTGGGTGGTTTTTATCATTTTACTTTATTTGCATGAAGATAAACTGCGCCTTTGTCTGTACAATTTCTCCTTAAATACTTGGCAACCTTTAAAAAAATGAAAAACAAAAACAAACAGAAAAAAAAAAAAGGAAAGGAACAGTGCAGGCTACAATATCAAAACAGTACGATGGTTGTGAATAAATAATCTCCTAGGGCAGCTGGGGGACACGGCTGTTTGGATTGCACAGGGCTGGTGAACCCAGCCTCCTCTTCCCCTGACAGCAGGAACAGCAGCCAGATGGGGACCTGGCTGGGCAAAAAGGACCATCTCTGATCTCTTCCAGCTCCTAGTTGCCTGGCTCAGCCGTGGTGGTGCTGGCATTTTTGTTGGTTTTGCAGCAGAAGTACTGGTTCCAGATCTGCAGGAAAGCTGTCCGGAACTTCTTGATCCTGAAGGCATAGACGATGGGATTCATGGCCGAGTTGCCGTGAGTGAGGAAGATGGCGATGTAGGTGAGGATGTGCGGTGTCTCGCAGGATGGGCAGAACAAGGTGATGCAGTTGAGGACATGCAGAGGGAGCCAGCTGAGCGCGAAGAGGAAGAGGACCAGTGCTAATGACTTGGCGATCTTCAGCTCCTTCCCATAATACTTCTGGGGGTCGTTGGAGCTGGAGGACACCTTCTTGTTGAGTTGCTTGCGGATTAGGTTGAAGACTTCCAGGTAGATGAGCAGCATCAGCAACAGGGGAGGCAGGACCCAAACAAAGAAGTTGAAGTACACCATGTACTCCATGCTGATGACCGTCTCAAACTGGCACTTGATGACAAACTCCGTGTGGCTGGCATTCAGCTCCTGAGTCCTCCGCATCTTGTTCAGGTTGTTCCAGCCAAACATAGGGGTGAGTCCCACCAGAAAGGAGACGATCCAACAGCAAGCGATGGCCACTGCGGCCCGACGGGGTGTCACCACGGTCTTATACCTGTGGAAGAGACAACAACCACAGGAAAGAATTATACACGAGTGGGATGCTCTGCCTGGGGGTTAAGACTGCTCCACGTGGGGTGGCAGTGCTCATGCTGAGATGGCATGGTGCTCCTCACTCCCTTCCCTGGCAATCAGCAACAGCTTGTCCTAATAGATGTGTTATTGGACTGTTTTGTCTGCATGTGCCCTGGGGAACCTCACCCTGTCTCCCACCACTACCCCCAGCCCCAGGCAGAGACCTCAGATATGATCCTGGAGCTCTGGGGGTTGATGCCAAGGTAGAAAATGCATTAGTAATCTGGACCGTGCCTGCGTGTTCAACCCTCATATCTAGGGGGGTTTCATGTCCCTCCAGCAGGCCACCTTACATCTGAGCACCCTATGCCCAGAGCAGCAGATCACCCTTTCCTCCCCTCATGCACCAGCCTTGCTGGCACCCTGTTCCAGACAATTCCCCCTGCACCGGGGGAGGAAATCGCCAGCAAAAGCATCCTCTGGGACCCGCCCGGCTGGAGGAAGGATCCAATGGTGGTAATGGACCCCTGGGGAATCTTCTGGGCACAGCCTGTTTCATTTCCTAATGTGCTGTGCCGATCGACAAAACCCTCTTTCGTAATGGGCCGGTGCCAAGGGATGGAGGAGGAGGAGAGCCGTGCTTCGGCTGGGCTCTGCTCCCTCCCTGATGCCACCGGGGAGTGTGCCAGGGCTTGGCTCATCTCTCCAGAGCTCTCCAAGCGGGAAGTGGAGCCTGCTAGATTGATTTTCCCCCCCTGACCCTCAAAGGAAAGCTTCTCCTTGGAGGCTGAGAAGATTCTCAGCCCAAGTGTTATTGCTTTCCACCAGAGGGGATTGAAGGCTTGAACAAAGAACATTTTTCTGACTGTTTGCTGTTTTTTTCAGTGATGCCAGTGTTAACCTGGCCACGGGGGACAATGTGGAGGTGACTGGCAAACCTGGATCTCCATCCTGATGCTCAGAGCTCCCTCCTGCATGTCTGCAGTCTTTACCTGTGGTGGAAAAATGGAGCATTTTGGGCCTTTTTAATACAGCCAAGGACCCAAACCCACTCTCCCTCCTCCTTGAAGGTCTCAAGACTTGTCTCATGGGCACGGTGTCAGGGTGGGAGCATGGAGTGGTGCAGGGTGGAGGGGGGAACATCGGTCCCCAGGAGTCCAGAGAATGCAGAGACATGGGTCCCTAACAACTTTCTGGAATGAACCCCTTCTGGTCTGGAAAAAGATTCCCAGCATCCCGGAGGCAGCCAGGTCCCGTGGGAAGGAGGTGGCAATGTGGGCTGCTGTTTCCTCTGAGAGCTGAGGCTGGAGCCGAAGGGTGATTTATTCTTTGTGGGGAGGAGAGAGGGCAGGAGACCCTGAGAAAGGCGCAGGGCAGGGAGAGCTGGGGCACGGGGAGCACGAGGGGTGGTGGGAGAGCACCAGCGCTGTGGATCAAGTGAAGGGAAAAGTGGGGGGGGGACCCATGGGAGTGGTGGGTGGCAGAGGGATACCAGAGGCTCCCGTGGGGCTGTGTGCTGGCCCGTGCACCCCACGTCACTGATAACGAGCCCTTGGGGAGGACTGATGTGCCCTTCCAGCTGTGACATCCCACTCCCACCTCCCTAGGCTCAAGCAGCTCGGGGTGCTCTAGAAATAACAGCACCACCACCCCCCCGCCCTGGCTCCTTCCCTCTTTGCAATGCCTGCAAGCCGAGGCTGTGTCCCATCTCCCCGCTCCTGGGGTTTAACAGGGTCTTCCACTGATTTTGCTGAACGTGCTGCCGTCTTGGGTGCTCCCTGCCCTGCAGAGCTGTGCAACAGCGATTGCCAGAGAGACAAGGATGCTGAGCAACAGCAGTGCCACCATGGTCCCCAAACACCCTCCTGGGGCTTGCAGCCAGCACCCAGGCACAGAGCTGCTCCCAGAGCACCCACCCCTTCTCCCCCTGCCCTCATGCCTGGGTCAGGGGAGCACATGGGACAGAGTGAGCACTGAGACCCCGTGAGTCATGAACCAGAGTCGGATCAGAGGACACAGTGTTCACTCTTGCAGCCAAGGCAGAGAGGATGGGGAACGGCTGCAGGGGGTACAGCCTGGATGGTCCTGGCCCCCCGCAGCTCCAGAACATTGCGTGTTGTTGCAGATGGCTATCAGGACAGCTGTGGAGGTCGTGCAGACCTCAGGTCCCTGGATGCATACAAGCTCGCATGGTCCAGAGTGTACAACACACACATAGCAAGACAACCACCCCACACGCTGCTGGCTGCTCATCCACCTCAGTGCACGCGCCTCCCACCTCCTCTCTGCACATCTGTCATCCTCGCTGCACATCCATCCCTCCTCACTGCACATCCATCCCTTCTCAATACACATCCATCCCTAGTTAATGCACATCCATCTCTCCTCTTCCCTGCGCATCCATCCTTCTTTGCCTCAGATGGATGCCCCCACCTCACTGGCCATCCATCCCTCCTCCTTGCCACACACGTATCTGTCTGCCGTGGTCCACATCCATCCCTCCTCACTGCACATACATCTCTGCCACCTCGCTGCACATCCCTGGCCTGACACACACAACGGTTCATGCATCAGGACCTGGCTTTTCCCTGCACCTGCTTTGCACCGAGAGGTTTAAGAGTGGCACTGCAGAAGCAGCCGGCAGCTGAGAGCAAAGCCTGTCCGTGCATTCCCCCACGCTTGTGCACCACAGTCACAGGAACCATGGATGAACCCCCAAAATATATAGAAATTAGCAACATTTGGAGCTGGGGCTTTTGCTCCTTTGCTCCTTTAAGCAACAAGGCAGAGGCAGCTGCAGCACACTGCAGGGAAACGTGCTCCTCGGGGGCTTGGGGGTGCCCACTGCAACCTGTCAGCCCTACGTGGAGAATGACAAAAGCCATAAAATGACTTTGGGTTCCCCTCCGTCCACCCCACAGGGTCTGGCCATGCAGATCTCACAGGGCTCAGCTGCTCTGCAGGCTGCAAACCCAACTTAAAAGGAGGGAAATGCAAGATCCCACCTAATGCTTGACCCCCACAACACAGGGCATTTGGGGGGGGGGCAAGTAAAAGAGGAGTGAGGGACAGACTTTGCTGTTCCCATGTTTCTGCCTTGGTTATGCCATAACGAAAAAGCCTTTCTCATTTATCTCATTTTGCGCTAATCTGATATAGCTGGAGTTTGGGATGGGTCTGGGAGGCAGAAGCACTAGAAAATGCTGATAATGGCTCACAATTAATAAATAATCTTATTATCATCAGCAGCATTGGAACAATTGCTAACATCATTGCAATTTTATTACTACTATTATTTTTATTAACAGCTGCGACTGAAACATCCATGATAATAGTCATCAACATCATCATATAATTTGGGTTTTTGTTCTTTGTCTGTGGGGTTTTGAGACTGACCATAATTGCTAGCTTTTCCTCCTGCTCTCCCTCACTGGCGGTTTTTGCACTATCCCTTCCCCACAGAGATGGGCATAACCCCAACTCCTCCTGGATCCCCTGCCACGACCAGGAGAAAGGAGCCTGGAGGGAGCACAGTGACCATCCGGCCTCATTGATATCCCAGTGAATTGGGATGAGCAGGACCTTCGGTTTGGTGTGGAACAAGAGGATTTGGAAAATAATGTGAAGAGCCAGAATATCAATTATTGATAGAGTGCTGTTTGCATCCCCAGAGGAAGTGCAAAAATTGATGGTTGGAGGCAGAGGCAGACAAATTGTCCCCAAGGGCTGCGCAGAGCTAACGGGGAGACATGGAGCAGGCTCCTCCAGGGAGGGATGCTGCCTCATGATGGGATGGTCCAGGAGATGTTGCAGTCAAACAAAGTTTCTTGGGCTGAGGATGGAGTAACTGGGGGAGACACTGAGGCCCCTTTTCTCCAGGAGATTATGAAATGCTCCCCGGCCCTCACCCTGAGGACACTATCCACCCTCCTTTCCCTTCGCTCATCATTCCCAGGCTGGATTCAACTTTTTCTCCCACATCTTGATGTGGGCAGACTTCTGCATCCCTTGCCACTGCAGCCAAGGGAGCCCAGCTCAGCCCAGGACCTGCTCTTTAGGTGTCTGGCACTGGGTGGGCAAAGCTCCTGTGGCCATCTAACATATCAGGACACATCTGAAAACACAGGGAGAGTGGCATATTCATTGTATTTCTATTGATTTGGCTTTTGTCTTGGGGTCTGTTCCCCAAGAGAGAGGCGAGGGCTCATTTCCTAGATCTCCAACCCACAGGTCAATCCAAATCTAACACTCACAAAACATATCCTTTTGATTTCGTTGAAAAAGCTTCAAAGATTCCAGGTCTGGTTTGAATAAAATTTGTTTGTTTTGAATAAAATTTGTTTGTTTTTTAGTATTTCTGTGAATATCCTTTTTGTCCAGAAAATACTTGCAGTTGTCCAGGCAGCCCCAAGATGCGGCTTTGCTGGTCCTTGCTCTGGTAGGGTTTATTGTGGTGCAATTCCTGGGGAATTAATTCGCTAATGATGGCAGGCCATTGCTAATGAAATGGAGCTGGAGCCAATGTGGTAGGAGGAAAGGAGGCCAAGCTGACATGAAGCTCATCTGCATTATGAACACAGCAAGCAAAAGAAGCCAGAGCATGTCCTGATCTAATTGAAAATCTCTAGACAAAAGTGCTTTGATCTCAGAGAATTTTGGTTTCTGCTCCTTTTTCCTGGCTGTATCTTTGCTTCAGATCTTTCAGTGTCCTGGAGGCTGCTGGGTGGGAAAACTCAGATACTGGTGTTCAAAGCTGCTGAGAAACGTGAAGCTGAAAATGCAATGTGGCATCCAGGTTTTGTGAGGGGCAATCTTGGCCACAGCTCAGGGCTGGGATGAGAGGGTCCCTGGGCACCTGCACAAGGTAGGAAGCGCTGTGGATTGGACATTGTGCAACAGAGGGACCCTGATCATGACTCCTTCATCACCTCTAACCCTGGACATGAAAAGTTTATTCCTTCTTCAGTTCCTTGCTTTGGC